AGTCCTCCCTGTGAGCCAGCACCATGTGTAGGCTGCCACCAGGCAGCCAGCCAGATCCCAGCCCCTTGGGCATGTGGGCTGGGAAACAAGAAGAGCTAACCCCTCTTCCATCCGAACTCAGCTCCACCCCACCCCAATGAGCAACCTGCTGTTCAGGAGATACAGGATGCAAGGATAGTTACTGAGGTGAAATGCAATTTGATGCTTGTGTTTGGTGTTTTACTGACTTTGCAGATCTAGGGCTGATGATCTGATCATTTATTCAGAGGATAATGGTATGCAGTGTGGAACCTGTGGGGGATCACCTCCAGAGAGTGGTAGCCATTGTTAATTCCCTATCATCTTGTTTTGAAATACTATATCACTCTCATTGTTTTTGTTGGATTGGGTTTTATTCTGTTTTGTTTTGTTTGATTTTGTTATATCTGATGGTATGGGCAGCTATTTCAAAGATAACAAGATATATTATGGTAGCCATTTTGGATTTACTATTATCTTGTTTTGAAGCCCTTTGTTGCATTCATTGTTATGTTTTTATTGGTTCTACTATGTTCTGTTTTGTTGGATTTTTACTATGTCTGAAGTTATCTATAGCTATTTTAAGGGCAACAAGGGACATTATGGTAATCGTTGTTGATTTCATATTGTTTTGAAGTCTTGTGTCACTTACACTGGTTGGTGTTGATTGGCTTTGTCCTGTTTTAATTTGCTTGATTCTATTCTCTTTACAATAAAATTAAGAAAAAAGAGTTTATTCTGAAAAATCCCTAAAGAAGAGGCTTTAATGTAAGGCTGATTTTTCAGTTTTTCCATCAATTAAAAAGGTCCCAAGGACATAACTCCAAATCATAATGAAACTAAAAGTTCACACAAGGGTTAATATCAACAAATTATTACTTCTGATAAGCAACAACACAAAAAAATTCCATAGCAGCTAAAGATTTCTGGAGTCTGTGGCACCATATAAAGAGCTCTGCTTCCACAGAACCATATTTCAAAACCTGACAGCAAGAAAACAGAGTGAGGAATAAGCCCCAGAGGTCGCTTCCTCCAGCTTCCTCTCTAACACTTCCCAAACAAAATAATCCCATGATAACATCACTCTTCTTCTGATTCTAAACGTGTTAACTTTTTGAAGAAGATAGAACACCACTGACAGAGCTTTTTGAAACATAAAGATGTTAATGAATGTCCTGTCATAGCACTTATCTGCTCCATTATTTTGAGAGAAAATGCCCTTAGGATGGGCAGTATAAGACTATGTTTTTTGAAATGCTTATCAAATAGCAAAAACTAATGTGCTACAATCATCAGTAAATGAATTAACCCAGAGCTATCATTTTTATTTGATTTCTGACCTAAGAGACATCTTTCTGCAGCACTGTCTCCCCGTCTTGTAGCTCTTGCAGCTCCACAACTGAAACACCCGCAACCTCCTCAGTAGCATCAAAACTCAATACAATGGAAACAGTCATAACTGCATTTAAATTTCACTCCTGATGGCAAAGAGGATGATGCAATGTGTCACCTCTTAGACTTAACTCTCTCCTCTGACTCTTTCACTACACTTCTTCAGTCCAAGCCACAGGGTCAAGCAGAATGCTGGAGCAGCAAATACGTCACAGAGCCTTTAACATTTGCTTCAACATTACCATTCAACCATTAACATTTACAAGAAAATACTAAATGGCATGCATTATAGAAGTATAAACACATTTTTTACTATTTAATTTGAACTAAAAATAAGATTTTCAAATTATGACTAAAGTAGGATTGTATCTTTCAGACAACTAAAATTAGATCATTTCAGTATGCAAAAGACATTACATACCAAATACAGAAGTAAACTTAACATTAAAAGCTTCCAGTTTAGAGGGCATTATTTATAATTATCTTGTTTTGCATAATCTTTTTCCAGAGTTTTAAGGGCTTTAGAGTACTGGACTGCATTGCCACAGTGATGACCAGAGCACCAAAATGATAGCCGGCTGGGAGCAAATTGTGCTCACTTTTCCAAAGAAATACATATATATATATATATATATATATATATATATATATATATATATATTATATCTGGGAAAAGTTTTCTCTCCAATTACCAGAAGGACATGAACCACTATCATAAGCATGAATTTTCCAGGCGTCCTACAGAGGAGGTGAGAAAAGAAATGCATGATGGAAACTGTAAACTGTACTTGTCTACCTCAAATCTCTCTCTTCTGGTCTCCCTCTCTCTCTCCAGATCCCCTTTTCATTCCTTGTTCCTAACCTCAAACTTCAGCCTGATCCCCCAGGAAATGGTCAAATTATATTGAAGTTTATGCTAAACAGATGGAAATGGTCATTTTGGAAGCAGAAAAGTTTGTTGCTATGTTCATATTTTCTGGCTTACAGCATCACATCTTTCTTGAGAGTAGGAAAAGCATAAATAATATACAAATATTAAGCACATATAAGCAAGCACATTTCCAGTCTCTATTACAACACTACAACAAAAAGTAAAAGCAGCACATATTCACCAGTGTAAACACACTTCCCTAAGTGACAAATGCAAATCTCACAGGTGGACCACTTCTCTGGAATAGCCACAGGGAAGGTTCCTATGAGTAAAGGTTTTTCTTAACCCATTTGAAATTCCATTCCTCCATGCCATTCTCCATCTCCTTCCCAAAAAACTCCTTTTCTTATATGTTTTGCTGTCCAATGAGCTGACCAATTTCTTCATTTTTATAAATTATTACAAAACAGAATTTATGTAATTTTTAAAAACATGAAATCTTAGCAAGTTAAGATCATAGCTTAGTGACTTATTAAAAGCAAAGCTTTTCGGGGCTGGGGATTTAGCTCAGTGGCATAAGCGCCTGCCTTGCAAGCAGGCAGTCGTGAGTTCGATCCCTGGTACCGATAAAAAGGAAAAAGACCAAAAAAAAGCAAAGCTTTTGTTGAATATGACCAACAAACCTCTTTTTGTCCTCAGTCCATATTTCAAGAGGGATGGAAAGAAGGCCATTACTCAGAAATCTACAGCTACCTTCTGAGCATATGGTCATCTTTTGTGTCTACAGCAACATGTGGTCAACAAGTGGCAGATATTTTATTTTTATTCTCCATATTTAAACTGTGCTTTAAAAATCTTGAAAACACCAATCATTACTTAGAGAAGGAAAAAAATCAGGTCTACTATCTCTTTTCTAAAAGACACAGTTAACTTCTAAATTATAAACATTTAAAACTACTAGTTCCTGATTATCACCAGGTGTCCCTAATATCACTCTTGCTGCTGTTTTCTCTCACTGCTTACTCTGTGTCTCCTGGAAGCACAATCTGAAGAGCAGCTAAGCTGTACCAGGCCAACAGTTTCCCCTCATGGTGGCCATGTTAAATTGTCAAACCCAGCATTTCTTCTCTGCATGCTTATGTACAACTCACTGATCAGTATGCCTTTAACACACTTTACATGAACAATGTTTTTTAATACCTCTCATTCCCCCTAACTCAGTGATTCTCAAACTATAGAACATAAGCAAAGGAGGTGCAAAGGGCAAGAAAACATTGATAAACTGGACAAGAAGCAATTTTTCAAAATGTTAAAGATCTCTCTATGGAGATTTTGATAGATCTCTCTTTGTGAGGTATCATCTTGCCCTACCCTCTGAAAATATGCCATGAGTCTTAACTGCAAAAATCAGAAAACTTTGATCAACTCTTAAGTAATGTCCAGCTGTGCCTGCTATAATTCTTATCCGTCATCCTCTCCAATAATAAGGTTTACTTCAGTAGTTTGATGCTCCCAAAATTTATAGTAAGAGTGAGATAAATGAATCTTTGGTCTTCTGTTCACTGTCCATCACTATCTTGTATCCTATTATAGATAAACCAGTTGTGTCCATCTATGCCTCCTCTCACAAAAGATCCATTTTCTTATTACAATATTTTGCATTTACAAAAGTTACCTAGGAGGAAAGAGAGGTCATTTGGTAGCTGCAGTACCAGCTTCAGTGTAAAAGTGATCTCCCTCTGGGAATTAGATACAATAAAGAAACCTACCAGTAGCTAGAGGTCACCCAGAATCTATGGAAGGATATCTCTGGAGAAAGTATTTTCCATAAAGGAAAAGAATGCCAGGCAAAGAAGTTTGCTCCAGTGTCCACCACTAGATTCTGAAGGAGAGGTAACCCTGACTTCTATATGGAAGCAATCACTAGGATATGTTGTTCTTCACTACCAGAACCATGAGCAATCTGTGAATTCCTGAGTGACATGGGAACAGCAGAAAATTCCAAACAGAACTGGAAAAGGTATTTTTTTGCTAAACACCTATGTACAACATTGGGGCAAAAAAATATGCTTGCATATCATCTACTTTGTATGAATACAATATAACTCTCACACACCAAAACTTTCAGGCAGTACAACAGTACAACTCAGTTATAGATACCTTAATATATACCATGATTCAGTGCAGTTTATAACAGTACTTTTAGCTATGTTAAATGCATACAAAAACTAGAAGATAAATACTGGTGTCTAAGATGTATACCTCCCAAACCCCAAGCAGAGCACCTAAGTACATGATCTGCCTCACTGATCAGGTCATGAAAGAAACTTCTGAGTCATAGAAAACATCATGAGTACAGGACTGACACTCTCCAGCCTCAAGCAGGACCTCCCAGGAATGAGAATATGACCTTGAGGAGAAGAAAGATTCTACTTTTTAACTTAGAATGATAACCAGAGAAATATGGATCATACTAGTCTTGTGATACTATCATGAATAGTTAGAGAAGCATTTTGGTATTGTATTTTTAAATTTTCAAGTAAATGGCATGTATGTAATTTCCAATCCAACATCTTCAAGAGTCTTAAAACTAAATCACTTGAAGACAAGATCCTGGTTTCAATTTGCCTACTCCCCAAGTCTCTCTTGAATAGAAAAATGAAACGTTTATATCTTTATTTTCCTCTTTTCAACCAAAAATAATAGATAGTTAATATACCTAGTATGTTAGCAGTACACTGAAGAATTCCTGAGACATCTTCAATTTCCTCTTTGTTGGAATAGTCTGCATAGGAGCATCTGTTAGAGATATTGTGGAAATTCTTTTCTGCATCCCTGTAACTAAGAAGAAAATAAAATTAGCATATGGGAAAATTTTTGAGAGCATTTGCAAATGCATTCATGCATACACATATAAGCACACAAATCTATGCTTTGAGCAAATTATATTTTAAAATAATTGAATCTTCAGACATACTTCTGGTATAACCCACCATTCCCAACAGTATTAGCAGGATGGCCCTACAATTGGAGGTGTCTACTAATAGAATAACTTTTGGCAAAATATTTTTCCCTTGTCCTCAATTTCCTCTTCCATAAAATGAGTGTAATATAATGAGTCTGCAAAACATATGCTTACGAGCTGGGGATTCAGTTCAGCAGTGTAAGCACCTGCCTTGGCAAGCGTTAAGTCATGAGTTCAATCCCAGTTACTCCCCCAAAAGAAAGATACATATGCTTAGAATAAAATACATAATCACCCAAAATGTTGCATCAGACATAGTAGGCAGTCATTCTTAATAAATATATGGAAAAGAACTAGATCACTTTTAAATAAAATAATTTACAGCTACAAAATTTGACCATAAAAGCATAAGTGGTATATTTGAAATTTGTTTCTTAGAATAATCAGGGCTTCCTCCTCCGCACATAATTTTACTTCTTACCCTGTGTTACAATTATTCTGGCTTAATCTGTCATCCATTGTCAAAAGAAGAAACGAACAGAAGGTTGGCTGTATAAATAAACACAGGGCCCACAGCAATAATGGGAGTAATAAAAGTTAATTTTAGATGACTGTGGGAAACAATAGTCCAGACGTCAACTAGATGTTGACAACAGTCCTAACTGTGATATTAACACAACAGTGTGCATCCTGCTCAGAAGAATAAAATGAATAGCATAATTCTGTGTATAACTTCCTTAAGTTTTATTGTTTAAAACATATAACTAATGAACAATGTATCTCAGGGATATTAATTATTAATTGTTTTCCATGATAGTTTACTACAAAAATTGCAATCAACACTGCCATAGCAAGCCATTTGTGTCAGTATAGGCCAGAAGGAATCATAGAATATAAACATGAGTAAGAACAGTTGGGTCAGACATGCTACAGACAGATATTTGGGTTTTAAAAAATTCAGAAGAAAAGAACTTCATAAGGAAATTGCACCTGGAATATGAACTAAGAATGTGTGGCTTTTGATATTAAGCAATGGATTCCTAACTTTCAGAAGCCCAGGGGAAACAGGGAAGGAAAAGCAAGAGATAAAGGAAATAACAATAAGTAAAAACCAATGCACCAAACAGTTGTTACCAGTGGTAATCATAATCAAACCAGCACGGTGATGATCTTGATGTACCAGGTCCTGCAGTGACTATATTATATGACTCAACATATTAAAATTTCATGTAAACATCACCCCAACTCTGTTGTTATTCTCATTTTTAAAATGAGAAAACTGAGTTTCAGGAATTCTAAGTAACCTGCCCAAAATGACAGTAAGAGAACACGCCTTTAATTCTATGAAGGTCTTATACATCTCCCTCCACATCACAATCTCTCCCCAAGAAAGACACACCAAGAGAAGAAAAGGCACAAGAAACTGTCAAAAAGAACATTAGAAAAAAAAATGCCATCATAAACCGATATTCCCCAATTGAGTTCCTTTTAACTACAAAACTGAACCCTGTCTGCCTCTATCGTCCACCCTTCACTGCCCCAAAAAAAAACTAGTCATTTCTGGAAGTTTTAGATTAAAAGGAATCTACATAAAGGGGGCACCCTTGCTGCCCCCTTACTCATTTTGAGTCGAGGGAAGAAGACTACAAACTGGAGGTTCCCTGAGTCAGCACCAATGTGTAGAGTTTGTATGTTTAAGCAAAGGCAGACACACTGTGGCAGAATATTAAGCATAAATTAGAAGCTATATAAAGAAATATGTGTAATTTATATCATGAAGAAAAGGACTTAGAATACTATAATGATAAATTTTACCAGTGTAAGGGGCAGGGCAGATCATTTCAACCTCTCATTTTATACCAACTTTTCCCAACCTTAATTTACTCATGCTCATTATGCTTCTAAAAAACATCTCTGAACGCACTTCTAGAGTATTATTTATTTATTCACCGCTCCCTCAGTCCCCCCAAAACGCTGGTCTTTCATATGTGTCAAGCAGTTATACAAGCATACGAATGTAGAAATAAACATGACAAATGAGAAAATAAGATAATATCATCTAATGACAAGCACTTCGAAAAGAAATTATAGAGGTTAGTACAACAGAAAATGACTGATGTTGGAGACTAAGAGAAAATAGAGTGCAACTTGAGATTATGTACTAAAGATAAGCCATTTCTGAAGAGTTGATATTCTAGAGAAACCTGATAATATAGAAAAATAAATAATGTGAACACCTGAATATAGAATAGTAAATACAAAGGCCTGAAGGCTAAGTTTAATATAGTGATAAAATCAAAAACAACAGTTGGAGCAGAGTGAACAATGAGTGATGGAAGAGGATGAAATTCGCATAGCATATCACAGAATGAACTCAGATATCATTCAGTCCTAATAAGCCATTACATAATTTAAGGAAAATGCCCTTATCTGTGATGTTGGAACAGTAGCATAAACATCACCTGAGAAGTTGCTAGAAAGATCAGTCTATGACCCTCTCCAGACTTGATGAACCACAAACTTTCTCAGTACAGCAGTGAATCTTGGTTGATAACTTGCCAAACTGAAGGATTGCCTAGAAAACTAGAAAAGCATGCTTCAGGGTATAAGCGTAAGGGTGTTTCCTGTGGGTCAGTGACCTGGTGGAAAGGCCCTCCCTGAATGCAGGCAGCACCATTAAGCTGGGAGCCTGGATAAAACAAAAGATAAAAGACAAAGGGCACACATGCACAAACACAGATGCAGGCATATATGTGTTGAGCTTTTTTTATGTAAGTGTATTTTTTTTTGGCTGCTGCTACCAGCTGTGGATAACAGAGTCCAGATTCCTCAGCCTTTGAGTCTAGACCTGTACCAGTGTCTCTTAGGCTGGCTTCCAGGCTTTTAACCTCCTACTGGGACTACAGAACTGGCTCTTCTTAGTCTGAGGTTTCCAGCTTCTTGGACTGAGCACCTACAGGTTTCCCTAACGCTCCAGTTTGTGTTGCCCATTGTGAGACTTTTTAGCTTCTGATTATGTAAGCCTAATAAATTCCTTATTCTTATATATGTAACATATATGGTATATATACACATATTATATATTAATATATATTATAGAACATACTGTATTTTAGTAGGTTCTGTTTCTCTGGGGAACTCTAATACAGTGGGCCTTATCTACATTTCAATAAGCTCCCAAAATGACTGTGATTAATATTTGAGTAGCATTGGCTTCAAGTAAGAAAGTAGCAGTAGCTAAGTTTTTAATCTCTTTTCCTGTGATTAAAAAAAAAAAAACTCAATATTGGGTGAGAGGAGGAAAAGCTAGAAAATGAGATCAGAATGCCGCAGTCAGAGATGATGGAGACAGTAGAGATGAAAAAAAGATTTATTACATGGCATAAATAAATTATTTCAACACTCATTTCCCCAATGAAAATGATCTCCATGAATAGATAAATGAGTGAATGGACAAATTAAGGAGTACAATAAATGATTAAAGACAAGTGTTCAGAGTAAGTGTTTGAGGTACAGAGAAGTTATCTTACTCCCTTATTTTATAATAAGTTCCCTCATCTACTGCCTGGTACTCCATCTGTGATCCTTTGAACAGATGCTCCTCACATTCAAGTCTAGGTCTTGGGAGATGAAAAAAACCAAAGGCTCAGAATTTCTACAGGCAACCAGTAGAAGAATTTAAGAAACAGATTTTACAATTCTAGAAGATGATAAATAAATCTGATTCCAGGGCATATTTTTAAAGACAGGAAAGGCACAGTGGGAAAGTCAGTAATGTAGGGGTGTTGGGGTAAATTAAGATATAAAAAAAGAAATGCTATCTCTTATGCTCTATACCTTGCTTCAGCCTTGTAGTCCAAGGCTCTAGAAAGCTGAACTACTTCAAGACAAGTCTTCAGGAATCTCAATTTCAGAAATTAAGCATTTTTTCTTCCCAGCTCCAAAAACTCTAAAAACTCTGTTAATTCATCAAGAAGTATGGTTTGTGCTTTCATTTTTTATTATTTTTGATGCCTATATATTGTAATCTGAGCATCGACTTTGAAGATAACGATATACAATATAGTAATGACCGTTAATCTGTTATTTTGTTTTGAAATTCTGCATTTTTTTCATTTAAATTTTTTTTAAAAACTGCAGAAACTAATGCTCACCAGCACTTATTCTCCATTGCCTGAAATCCCCATAATTATAGGAAACACATTCCTTTTCACAGTTAGGAGAAAAAAAGCTTTAAATTGTGTTTTCTTTAGAAAAACAACACATAAGTGTGAAAACATTTCAGTCCAAGTGTTAATGATATTAGTTACACTCCTTTCATAGTTTCAAAAGGATAAATAAGAAGTAAAACGTCAGAGGTAAAAAGATTTGGAAAAGGAAGCCATATGATGAGTGGAAAAGGAAGAAAAAGAACAAAGACAGGTAAAGCTGACCACACTGTCTCTAACTAATCTCTATGTCTTTGTCAGCATTGCTATAAATAAAGGGACTGAGCAAAGGTATTTCATCTCCTAAAAATGAGCCAACACTCAAGCAAAAACATGCTTGACTCCATCAAGACACCACTTCAGAACAGCCCAATTCTCTGTTTGCTCTATGTTGTGTCTATAATAAGCAGGAGGAAAAAACCATTGTCAGTGAACAAAAGAACTACCACAGATGAAGAGAAGAGTTGAAACACTTAGATAAAAGAGAATGCTGTTCTACTAAAGGTAACAGTAATGTCCTGCTAATTACTGAAATACAGTTTAGATATCTATTTTAGTCATACGATAAGAGTATCACTTCAATTAACCTTAAAGCAATAATTTAGTTCACAAATTGAAATAGCTCACCAGTTCATTAATTTCAAAACAAGAAAGCATTCACAATTCCAGGAAATGATTTGAGTTTGATGACTAGTATTGCCCTAAAATTATTAGTAAGAGAATAACAAAAGGGTAAATAGGTACATACTGCTTACCACATATGAGAAAGTGTTCTAAGTATACTAACTAATTTAAACCTACTTACCATACTCTGAAAGTAATAAATGGAGTAAAAGAATATTAAGTTTTATTTTAGAATGTGTGAGAAAAGATAATTTGACATTCTTTAGCTCTGTTAGGATAAACTATTTGGAATCACTAATGACCTCAAACTAAAAGCCATCTCATAAGTTTAAATAATATGCTTTTCCTAGTACTCCATTCTTGATATTAATACAACAAAGTAATTCCCTTTGAAATGCAATTAACACATCACCAATCATCACTTAAAGTATATGACATCGTGCTAGGTACCGGAGATGATTTTTTTCAATTTCTTCTTTTCTGTTTTGTTAATAAATTATTAATAGCTAAAAACCTGTCTTGATGTCCATGATAATGACTATGAGTCATTGATGTAAAATGGTAATATTGGAAAGAGTACTAAAATTTGAATCTTGAGCCCCTCAAAGTTCTTAAAACCTTATAAAGATAAATCGCTGTAATAACAGAAAATACTAATATGCCGAATTAAACTATACATCTAATGACAAAGAATTTAATTTAAAAAGTTAGATTCTGTGAGAAAGTACATTTAGGCTTTTGTTATTTATCATTGCTTTCTGCCATAACCAATTAAAGATCTACCTTACACTCGTCTGGAGTTTTCTGTTATAAAATATTTTCATGAAGATTATCTCATCTAATCATGATGTTTAATCCTTGATTTAGTTACTATCATTATTACCACATTTTACAAAAGAGAAAATATCACTCATTAAAAATTACATGTACTAATAAGGGCTTGAATTCCTACTCTTTTTGACATCAAGTCTTTATACTTCATACTATCACAAGTATGAAACAGGAGACCATAAAAATAACGTAGCCCTGACTCTAGCTCAGCCAACAATTTTCACTGAAAGTTGTTAATCTCACAGGGATTTTGACTGAATTCTATGTAAGAATTCTAAAAACTGATTCAAAAGTTCCCAGATTGTATCAATAAACCTTCCCACAGTAGTAAGGCAAAATTAAGAGACAAGAGAACAAGAATACAGAAGGAAAATAAAGGAAGAAATCAATACCAAAAGGAATTTTATTTTTAAAAACTAAGCGCAAATAAACCAAAGGAAATCACTCTAAAGGGCCCTCGTCACTCCCTGTTCACACTTTGCGAAATAGCCACTACAAGAGAGGAGACGGCTGACCTGAATAGTAGCGTAACCATATGCTCGAATGTAACAATTTGAGTAGTAATCTTTAATTTGTTTCAATAATGACGAAGTTCATTTTTACTCACCCAATAACTTGATGCTCATAATACTGCAATGTCCTCTTGAGAGTCTGCTGTATTGTCTGAGGCTACAGGATAATAATAATAAAAAAATATTATCAATAAATCAGTGTCGTTCCCATTCTGAACATCATAAGCAGATATGTAGTTTGTGATTAATCTCAAGAGAGTTTTCACTTTACAATATTAACTCGTTTTGCATTGAACCATGTATTTTCCAGATTGGAACTTATGAGGTACTCAGCAAATACCTAAATTTCCAGTTTCAAGTATGATTCAATTTCCTAGTCATATTTTTTTAACTCTATTGAACTAGTTATAAGGTCCAACACAATATTCTTTGGTTGCCTATAGTCCAAGTGGGCCTTGGGAGTAATGGGCAGGGTATGCTGCAGAAACATGAGTCATAGTTCTTTCTGTCCGGGGAGAGTAATCTGCATGTGTAACAACCAACTGAAATGAAAGGACACATCTATGCATCTTAATATTTTCTTTCACATTTCAACAAAACTTTTAAGGATGGTCTACCAAGTAAAGTAAAGTAAGATAAATTAAAAAGAATCAACTTTATAAAAGATAGTTTTAAATATAGGTCATCTTTTTCATTCTGCATTTGAGGGGACAAATAGAAAAGTTGGTCTAAGATGGAGAGCAAACATTCCAGAGCCCCACAGTCATCATTTCAAGCAGAACAGAAGTCAGTCCAACTTCCTTCATATCCCAAGAGATTTCAAGCAAAGAGTCTTTCTAGAATCTCCTAGAGGAAACATAGAAGAGTGAGGGGTGACAGAGGCAAATAGTCAAGAAGCCTATGACTGAACTGAATACTCCTCTCTTCCTCCTGACAGCCCAAGATGTAGTTTTTTTTAAAATCCTAGACCAAGAAATTACATAAAGACTTACTTAAACTGCAAGGCTTAAACTTGGTGTTTCAAACAGCGCAAATGGGACACAAAGACTCAAGAACCTAGATTTCATTAAGAAGTTATGATGAGAAATCAAATTTTCAATGCCAAGAGTTTTCAAAAATAATGAAAACTTTTAGTTAAACAAAAAAAGTCATCAAAGGTTTATCAAACCATCCATCCATTACAACCAAAGACAGTTTTTCAAGGAAAGTGACTCTAATGCAACATATCCAGTACCACCATAGCTTGGTAATCTTGGGGTCACTACTAATTAACTAAACAAACTTGATACTTCTAAAACAATAATCCAGAGAAAACCCAGCACACTGCTCCTACCTAAGAAGCAGCTAATAAATATTAATGTCTAATTGTTAATCCTTTCATAATGTAAGGAAGACCCCTGAGATTTGTCAGAATTCCATGTTCACACTTTTAAAAAAATAACCATGATAGTTATGACAGTCTCTCTACACTTGCCAAACCATGTGCCTTGGTAGGAAATGGTTATTTTAAGCTAGGAAAGTAAATTTAACTTAAACAGGGCATTCCATGAGATCTCTATCATACTATGTAGAAAGACCTTTTCACAGTGCAAATCTAGAGCCTAGGATATATTCTTCGCATTCACCAAGCCAATTCACAAACCATCTTTAGAAAGGATCAGGCAGGTATTCAAAGGAAAGGCACAAATCAACTTCTTTCAGCAGCTATTTTTCATTCCAGGCTAAAAAGATGAACAAGATCTCAGGTGGGTTTAGATGTTTCTACTCATTAGAATAGAATCAAAGCACAGTAAATGGAATGCAACTAGAAAAGAAAAATAGTTCCTGGACCAAGAATTAGTGACTCAGTGAAGCAATTAAGAAATGTAAAGAGAATGAAGCAGGTACAGGGGTTGCAGTATGTCAGAAAAGCGCATTTAACAACCACACGCACAGTCAGCCTAGACCAAATCATTATCAGTGACTGCCTCAGCTTCCCTGTAATCTGGGCCTCTTGCACTGGTTTGGCAGTTTCTGAGCTAGGATAACTTTCCCTCTGGCAACATGCACCCAAGGCAGTGAATATTCACAGAGGCATTATCCTTCTAATAACCTCTGTCACAAAACATGGAACAGAAAGCAGGAGCTCAAGTGCACAGGGCCAATTAAGACCAGAATGACCTCATTTGTACAAAAAGACATTTATTTCCTACACTAGGAATTTCCCAGTTATTAAAAGCCAATTGTTTGTGAAAGGACGTAAGCCATTAAAAGAGATGACTTTTTTCTTGTGTGAAGCAATTACTTCTGCACTCAGTAGGAATTAAATTTATAGTTTCCAGATACATTAAAAGGAAATGTTCTGTGGGAACAATCAACAAAGCTTCAAGTTGGTAGAGCATTTATGCACTTCCTCTTTCTTGCCAAAGCCAGTGGGTACATTTTTTGTTGTTGTTGTTGTTACATTGAATGGAGCAAAAAGACATTTTATTTTCCTAATTCACCAATTAAGCTAGAGACTTCAGACAAGTAACTTAGTGGATATGCCTTCCTACTCTGTAATGTTTAACAAGTATATAATCATAAATATAAGACACACATAGATGCACACATACATACATATATGAGTCTTCATGTCTCTTAAATTGACACGGCTAGGTATCAGTTGAAAAAAGCAGTACTATAAATAGTACTTATCACCCATTTTAAGAATGCATAGTCATCTAGTTATATTGCCATATATATATATATATATATATATATATATAGACACATACGTGTGTGTCATTTGATAACTGAATTTTCAATGGTTAAAAACAGTAAAAAGAACTTTTAATTTTAAAGAAGATAAAACCAACGAAAACAAAACAGAATAAAACCAATCAAAATAAACCAGTGTAAGTGATACAGGACTTCAAACCTTATGAAACCAACAATAGTAACCATAATGGCTTTTGTTGTTTTCAAAACAGCTGCAGATACTTTCAAACATACTATAAATTGAACAGAACAGAATAGAACAGAGACCATAAAAATGAAAAAAATGAATGCAAATAAGGGCTTCAAAACAAGCCCGAAGTAAATCCAAAACGGCTACCATAATGTCTTGCCATCTTTAAAACTGCTGCTCATGCCATCAGATTTAACATCATCAAACAAAACAAAAGAGAATAAAACTCAACAAAACAATGAAAATCATACAGTTTCCAGGTGGGAATCATCTTGGGATGAGGCCTGGTTCTCTCCCTAGAGACTTGAGTCTGGCTCTGTCAACTCCAGCAGCGGTCCACGTGGGGCACTCCCAGTGGGTACATTCTAATAGCCTAACCCACAGCATAAGGGCTAAGTGCAGAGTATACCCTGCAAGTCAAGATTGCCTTCACACAGTTCTCACCCCTCTGGAATGTCTCATTCCCATGCATTCGCCTTCTCTTTCTTCAGACTTTGACTAATTGCCTCAACCCTGGTTTTATCAGTGTCACCTGAATGAACATGAAATTAAGACCCACAAATAGGCCAAAACTTTAATAGAAGTGACTTCTGCCTTCATGGTGATAGGGTTCATTTCCTCAGCAAGCCTCTACTAAGTTCTCATGCATGCCAGTAATGCTTCCCAAGGGTTTTGAGGACATACAATCTTTCTAATCTCTCCTCTGGGAATGCATCTCAGCTGTCTCTGACCAGTGAAACTTCCTCAGATACAAAAGAATGAAAAACAGGGGATTTGAGAGGTCCGATAACTTTAAAGCCATATCCAGGAGGATCCTAGAGTCAAGGATGAGAAAGGTAACAGAATCTACACAATCACACAAGTAAAATCACACGGGTAAAATCAAGAAAGAAAATTTTTCTCTATGATTCTTTTTCCCAACTAAGTTTTAGATATTGGCCTCAAATTGTCCCAACCTAACACAATGAAGCAAGGTTCGGAAGACAATTGGAAAGAGAAAGCAAACATATATATTCTGCACAAGTATTTCTGAGGCTGGAACAGAGAATAGCCAGAAGCTTCTACTATGTGACAAGAAGAAGCCCGTCATTTAATCTCATGAACAGCATCAGGCTATTTGGCAAGCAGTGACTGACCCCACCAACAAAATGTTACGCTCATGGAAGGTTGTGAGATCCAAATAGCCATCCTGAAACAGTCCCACCGGAGCCAGAGATATGATCCCTGAAGTGTGGGAGGGAGCATTTCCCAACAGCTGGCCCCACAGGCCCAGAGAGTCCTGGTGAGGCTCCCACACAGCCCCTGCTCTGGATATCGGCACCAGATGGTCCAAGCATCATGCAGGAGGCATAAGAATTACAAAATCACAGAGACAGCGAGTAAATAAGTCACTGCAAGTCAGGACTGGCTTCAAAGTGCATGCTCTTTACACTAGATGACCTTGAGAATCCCTCCCACAGTGCATATCCTGTGATTCTATATTCTTGTTTAAAATACTCAGCCCTTCATTATGGTAAAAAAAAGATAATTTAAAATCGTTGTCTTTAATAAAAATAATAGTTCTACCTTATAGAAACATCTATAAATAGCAACATCACTTTATTTATGATAAATTACCAATCAATGTCAGAAACTTACAGGGTATATACTAAATTACTAATAGAATAAGTCAGTAGTATCCAACTGTATCTGCACACTGCAATCACTTGGGGAGTTTGTTTTTTGTTTGTTTTTGTTTTTGTAATATCTATGCCTGAATGCACACACACACGCACACACACACACACACACACACACACACACACACACACACAGTTTCCAGTTCAACTGTCTGGGGAGATCCAGTAGCTTGTAAAGTATAGTCAGGGTCAGAACTTTTCATTTAAAGTATTAACATGATGAGTAAGACTGGTACACTATAAATCTTATCTGAGAAAGTCAGCACTAATGAGAATAATTTCATTTAAATATCAAGAAAAGTAAGAGACAAGTTCAACTCATAATTGCTAAATTCACATAGTACCATTTAACTGTCACTAAAATCTTGTAATCAAATACGATTTGCTAGACAAAGAACTATATTATTTAAAGCAAAAATAAAGGATTTTTCATTTCCAAATAATTCACTCTCAAACCTCTAAGTCAGCATTCAGTTATGTGCTGACGTGCACATAAAAATACAAAACTTGAATAAGTATTGTACTTTCTGTCAAGCACTGCTTTAAGCC